GGTGTATAGTTGTATGATTACAATGGAGGCTTACAATGTTTCAGCTGTAAGGCATGTTTCTGTTGCTATTATTACCAAAAACTAATATCATATAACTTAAACTTAAGGGACATAATAAAAAAAAAACTCATGAAATGGGATGGGAATTGAAAGAAGCAGGATGAGTCAGTAAGTTAAATAAAAAAAGCTAAATGTATACTATATGCATAATGAACAAGTCAGGCGAAGATCTTAGTGTGGTATCCCAAAGTACTATGATTACCTTCATCAATGACTATTACAAATAATACATACAAGTTGGAGAACCCACAAACCATACAAATTTATACACATATCTGTATCTAACCTTGAAATAAGTTCAATCAACACCAAGGAATAAACACAGATATAGTCACACAAGCTTCTGTGTGATAGCCATTGTAGTATGTATCCTTTACTAAATGAAAAGGATGATGTTTACAATCTTTGGACATTCAGTTGACAAGGTTCTCATTAATTACATGCAGAACTCTACACAAACATTTAGAAAAATTACCTGAGAATACCTTACTATATAGAAAGTGACACTAGCAGTTATTACAGCTGTGATATCAGCATATTAAGGGTCACAATATTTATCAGATATTATGAACATTTGCTGTTGATTTATACCATTATTTATTAATTCTATATTTTCTATATTGAAGTTCACAAAAAATAATTACTAATGTAAATTTGTTATACAGATACCTGTAAGGTCCTAACTTCACCCATACAATATCTCCATAATGTGGATGTTTTCTCATTTTGCAGTCTTCACAGAAATAACTGCCTTCAGGTGCCTCAACATCCAGACATTCTGCATGGAAAGCAGCAGGACACGACTCACAGCAAATCAAACTTCCCCCTAATCAAACAATATTAATAATGGTGATATCTGGAAAAACATGCAGACAGTGAGCAAAGAAAAACTAACAAAGCTACACTTAAGAATAAAATAAAAATTTATAAAATGTGAATACACACTAAAAATCTATACTTGCTGATACAAGCAAAAGAAAAAATTTTAATGATAATTTATAATTGTTCAGTTCATGTTAATATCTGTACATTTTAAACCAACTTGAAACTAATTACATTTTCCAACATATATCTGATGTTCTTTCCTGAAAATCCCTTTAATGAAACTGTGTTACCCCTCTCTCCCTAGTGTCTCTAACAACAAGCATCAAGCCAAGATTCAGATATATGGCTCAGAAAGTGAGCTTGTTAAAAACTATATTACTTAGCTAATTGTTCACTAATACATAAACATACAAATATATTTTTACCTGAATACAATGTAATTACACACAATCAAATTTCATCTTACAGGTGACACACCATCTTGTAAATATAGAACATTTTCTAATGTTTAAATTTTATGTTTTTATCCTATCAGTTCTGTAAAAAGAAATCATTTTGAAGTATGCAAGATACTAAATTCCACATGTTTTTGGAAAAATTAAATTACAATTTATACTGACAAAAATATACATACCTATAGAACAAATGAAGCACCAGCTGACATTGACATGTGTTTGGTACTGCCTTCCTTTTTTAGGACAGAAATGATTTGCACAAATCATATGTGTTGGATTAAGGATAACTGATCCAGCAGCAATACAGCTTTCACCCATGTGATAAGCTGTTGGACACCTGATGCACCGAATGTATCGTGCTATAAAAATCAGATCACACAAAATGAACTGTCATTTTTCAATAACACCCAAGTTTTAGATTTATATAATCTAAATGATATAGAAAAGAAGATACTAAAGACAAAAAAAAATAATACAAGTTACAAAAGTAGTCATGTATTCATAAATATATATATTTTTTTTAATGTTGTTATGTCCAATTTAAATTTTTTGACATTAAAAAATATATCTGTGCATATATTTTGTGTTTATTTTTTCATAGGAGTTTTTTACAAATTATTTCAACAGCTATGCACACAAATTCCCATGAAAAAATAAACAAAATATACACACAGACTTTTTAATGTCCAAAAAGTTAAACTGGGCATATCAACTTAAGTAAAAAGACGTTATCTAATATTTTTTACACATAAGAGCCTCATTTAAATTGGCTCCAAATTAAGTACCAAATTATTAGAATATTATCTAGTTAATTATCAGATCTTGAAATTAAGCTTTAGTGAGTTAATACATGTGATAAACAATGAAAACTGGTTGTCCCAGGTTTTTAAATTCAAGTTTAAGATTTTTATTTAGATGTTTTATTATTTCTATCATTGAAGTATCTGATAAGTTTGGATTGCTTTATATATTAATGCAAAGCTACACAAGGATAACTGTCCCTAGTCCTGAACTGAAAAACATGAGACAGAGCAGCTAGTCAACATCACTCACCACTAACTCTTGGGCTAATCTAATCGAATAATGGGGTTTGACCATCACTCTTATAACACACTTATAGCCCCAAAATGCAAAGTTTTTTTTTCTTTTGTAGCAACACAACTCTAACCATATATACTTGAATCCACACTCCACCACATCTGATAAAGAGATAGGGGAAAAATCAGCAGCAGCACCCATGCTTGGAAATCTGATGATTAGATTGTAAGGAACCAATTATATTACAGGGCTATAAAATACCTATGAAACTGAGAATCAAGGAGTTGAAAAAAAGGACTGGATGTCAGTGTCAACATAGACTAAGGAATCAGTGATATCCATATGTTATGGTTTAACACACTTTAATGTTAATAATGGCTGGAGACAGCTTGAATGGGTAATGGAGAAAAACTTTAATATAAGTTTAACATAACAGCAAATGTACAACGTTTCAACAAGGTTTTGTCATCATCAGGTACCAAGCCGTCTCCAGCCATTATTAGACTCAAAGTGGGTTCCTCGTCATCAAATTTGAACACTTTAATGTTATTTGTCAGCTTTTACTATTCTCTGCATTACTATTTAAATACTTGGTTATAAACAATAGTATACTCGAGTTGTGTTCCATTTTTGCTAATTCTGAGTTACTGATTGATCTACTGTAACAAAATTAAGTTTTATCAGAATTATATTATTTCATAGTTTTCCACTATTTCCACTGAAATTATTGCTTCTGTAAAAATCATTGCTTTGATGATTTATGAAGTTTAGTGACTTTCCCAGTGATGGCTTTAGGAATGGGAAGAAAGCAAGTATGTCTCTGAAAACCCACAACACAGGTGTATAACACAAATATGCCATGGAAGCTTGGGCTGAAATAAAGATTTAAAAAACCAAAAAATGGGTCTAAGGTACAAAAGTTAGCATTTTCCTAAACTGAAAATGTATTTCCAATAATACTTATCTCCGCTCACACTTATAGCTATTACTTGACTGCCAGGGTTTCTTCCTTTGCTCATCTAAGCATTGATTTATTCTTGCTTGCTCCCTTCTTTTATACCCCACTTATTAATTGCCCTGGTGATATTTGTCTCATAACACTCTCACCTACATCAATGTACCCTCTATCCTGGTACTGTATATAAGCTCCTCATTCAGATAATTTTATCGCCTTTTCTTGACAAAGTGTTTAGACATGGGCTTCTCTAAAGAAGTACTGTGACAATTAATGTCCTTGGTTGTGATTTTTGCATCACCTAGTTGATTTCTGTACAAATTATAATTGATCATTCTATTTAAAAAAAAACTTTTCTTTATGCAACACACGATTTTTAGGCATGAATTCCAAGGTTACTGTTTCAAGCACAGGGGATAATGTAATTATTTTTTTGAGACTGACTCCATTCCAGTCACTAACAACACAAAGTGTCAGCGGTGGTAAGTATTATTGGAAATACATTTTCAATTTATGAAAATGTTAACTTTTAAAACATACTTACCCTCCACTGACACTTTAGCTATAATCTCACATTAAGAAGGTGGAGGGGCCAGTGAGGGCATTGTCCATACAGAAAGCATCTGTATAGAACAGAGGTGTACCAAGATAACAGTGTTACCCAAGTGGGGAAACTGCACTACATCCAGAACAGGTATGCTCTTTACCCAGAACTTCATATTGGTACCAAGGGTGGAATAGTACATGAGTAATTATTATAGGCTAGCCCCAACAAGATAACTGAGGTTCCACAACTCGGGGTTGGAATTAAGGGGTCATGATCCCTATATCCCACGTTGATGGCTTGGGCAATTTGGACCACAATGGGATATATAGATAAACTTTTTATTTGATTCCAACCTGTAACCATAGAGTGATGTGTTCTGAACCACTGTAATTACAATTAGAAAGTAAGCAACTCCGAAGTGTACAAACTTTTTCTTCCACCTGAACAAGTCCGAAAGGCACCACCCCAGGCTTGAAATGATGGTATCATACACGTCTTACTCAACCAAAGGAACAGAACTCATCCAGTCTGGAATTATGAACATTCATCCTCACTCTCCAACTCAGAGGGCAAGGAGCATTCCACTTACCCCCAGAATTATGGAGAGGATATAGAACACTGTGTTCAACCAAGGACCTAGGATGGGATCACTCTCATTTGGAGTTATGAGAAGATAGTGGACCTCCATCAATGAACAATATATAACCTGACACTGTTCATAAGAAGGGCCAAGCACACCCCATCTGGATAGCATAGGATCAAATCTGAACCGGTATAATGAGTAGGCTCCCGCGTAGGCCAGTGCCACTCCTACCAACATCTGGGAAATAAATCTAGGGACCTGAGCAGAAGGGCCCCCCAGCTTTGCCCTCTTCTCCAAGAGTGGAGGAACACACTCAAACACTCTGGAGGAAAAGCTTCTGTCCACCACCCCAGCAACTGGCAACTGGGTGAGGTAAGGACTCCCTGGCTTCATGAGTAGTATCAGGGAGAGGTAACGCGAGTTGGGGAGCCCCGAGGAACAGTGCTCTGGAAATAGTGCAAAGGTGAACCAAGTTCCATAAATTTTTAAAAGCAAACCGACCCCAATTTTAAAATAATAAATATAGAATGTATTGATTTTAACACTGTATATTTATTATTTTAACATTGTACACAAGTGCCGATATAAATATATATACATATATATATCACAACCCCGATTTATTCAATCTGATGATCAGCAGGGACAGGCAGAATCTCCCTTAGCTTTACTCATGATAGTACACGAGTAGCAGTCCATGATAATATGGTAATACCATCTGATAATGCACCTAGATAGTATTATGAAACACCTCATTTCTACAGAGCCTGTTGCAACCAGAATTGATAAGAGCACACCTGTCTGGGCAACACTTGCCACAGAGTGGGATCTGGTAAAAGCATGATGTAAGAGACCCAGAAAAAGAAATACAAGATTACTCCCTCCTCCATATAATCTAGCAGTTGTTGTTAAAACGAGCATGGGGGTAGTGTAAAACTCCCAGAAAAAAAAAAAAGCCAGATCATATAAAGAAGTCCACATACAGGCTCATAAAATGTCCCCTGGTGAATCAAAGAAATGGGCAGTGAAAGACAGAAATGTGCTGAAGTTGATGAAATGTAACTCTCAGAAGATTCCTCACCTGTAAAATCCATAGTATGCAACCTAAATATTTGCAAAACCACATCCAAGGAAGTGGGGATAAACCTTTCGAAACCAAAGTATCCCAAAGAATACAGAGACGAGAACTAACACCATGAAAGAAGTTAGAGTGAGCCACATAACACCTCTGGGCCTCACAGGGCAAAACAAATGATCAGCATATGATCGATTGTAGAGGTGAGAAATATGTGGCAAAAGAATTGTGGAGAGGGATGTATCCCCTTCCCTGGTGGCCAGAAACTTAGAAAGAAAGGACCTATCAGGGTATAAAAAACCTAAAGGGAAAGATAAAGAGTCCTACACATAAGTCAACAATTCCAGTTGATGACATTAGCGTGTCAGTAACAACAAAATACCCATGAAGGAAGAGATGATACATGGTACATGAGGCTAAAGGCTCGAAAGGTTGTCGAGACAAGGCATGTAGTACCACCTTAATATTTTGATTAATTAATGGAAAAGGCCATCTAGGAAGAAGGCTGGATAGCACTGGGGAGTCTAAAACCATCAGATGTTTAGGATAACTAAAAAGAGATGAAAAAGTTGTCTGACTTAACAGGAGACGAAGCTACACCCAAGTAAAAAACAGGTCAAAACAAGATATGGTGAACACGTTTGGTAAAGTGGGTATAAACTTATTGTCAGGCACATCCCAGACAACTGTAGATGTTAAACCCCAATGAGCTGGAAAGAGTCTTGGTGTAAAAGGTTGGGTTGAGGATGCCTCAATAAAGATAAACAAAAAGGAAAATACAGAGGTGGAATTGCATGAAGAAACTGTAGAAGAGGAAATCATGGCTAGGCCAGCCAATCTAGATGATCAACATCTTGCAAGGACAGGATCGAAATATAGCCAGAACTCAGAGTAACAGAGGAAGTGAGGTAAAGTCATAAATGTGCAATCCCATCCAAGCAGGACCAATTACATCTACTGCCCAAGCCTGAAGATGAGGTAGTGGAGAATCCAAAGCTTGTAGTTGAGTAGTGATAAGTGGCCAAAAGCTAACAAAGGTGGCCCAAAATGAAAACAAAGCTATCAGAAAACCACACAATGGAGAATCCATTGATTCAGGAGAAAGAGAGAACTGAGACTGACAATCTGCTATAAAATCCATCACTCCAGGAAAATGGCAAG